TTTTTTTTTTCTTTAATACATATTTTATCAATTTTAATAAATACTTTTTTATTAAAAATATTAATAGTAATAAAAACGTATATAATATTGTATAATATTATATATATGTATAATATTGTTTCAAAATTTTTTATATAACGATTATTTATAATACAATATATTTTAAGAATATATTCAACAATTTTGAATTTTGCTATATATATTTTTTTTATATAAATTTAAATTTTATAATAATTATAACAATTACTAAAACATGATTTATCAAATATTTATGTAATTTGCAGTATAATAAAAAAGCAGGGCATGGTCAATGTCTAGATATATTGATATCAACAAATTGGGGAAAGAAGGCGAATTTTGATCTTTTCTCTATGGACCAATACAATACTTTAGTAAAATATAAAACATCTTACTTCTCATTTATTCTTCCATTCAGTCTTGCTATGCGTTTCGTATGTATATTTAATTGCACTATTTGTTAGCAATAATTTTATTATTTCTTATAATAATATTTATATTTAAAAAATATCAATTTTTCCTTTCCTTTTTACTTTAGTTTAATTATACATTGTTTATAGGCTGACATAATCGATCCAGAAATGCATAGGGAAGCAGAAAAAATTCTGATAAAAATAAGTCATCTTTTCCAAGTACAAAATGATTTTTTGGATTATTACAGTAAAGAAGAAATCGGAGGAAAAAGTGGAACTGACATACAAGAAGGAAAATGTACATGGCCTATTGTGGTTGCATTGCAGCGAGCTACAGCCAAACAAAAGAAAATTTTAAAAGTAAACTTATTATATATCATTTTTATGTATCATTAATAATATTTCAAATTTATTCTTTTAAATGAAATAAGTTATTAATAATATTAATATAATCTAGGAATGTTATGGAGGAGCTGATGAAGAAAAAGTAAAACGTGTGAAAGAAATTTATGAAGAGATAGGTATATCAAATATCTATTTGGATTACGAAGAAGAAACGCATAATTTATTGAATACATATATACAACAATTATCTTCGAAACTTCCGACTGAATACTTTTTATACTTACTTGCTACATCATGTAGAAAAATAGGACAAAAAGATTGTACAAAATATTCCAAAAACATGGGATCACACATTCAATTATTCAGAAATTCTTAAGATAATATCAAGTGATATTTTCCTTTGCAAAAATTTTCTTTATTATTTTTGATATTATTAACGAATTATTAACGAAAAATATTGTCTTATGTGTCATGAACACAAATAAATTGAAGCAACATATTGAAGAAACTTACATATACAATTATTTTTTTTTATTATAAAAAATATGTATTTTGAATAAACAATTATATTACATGAACTATATTAAATTAAAAAAAAATTAATCAAATAAATACATAAAATCAACCGTTTAAGAAAATTCGTGAAATCTTTTCTCCTGGATATCTTTTTTTAACATTGATAGTATTCTGGTATATATCCTTATCCTTAAAGATATTCTTAACAGATTTGCATAACACTAAATTGATTAAATTGATAGATAAAACATCATCAGAAAATAATACACACGAAGGCAATGTATCATCCGATCAATCGGATGATTTATCATTTACTTCACACATGGTTAATGATTAATTATAATCACTAATGGCATATAAATACTCGCTCCGCTTCTAGTTACCTACACATTGATTACGTGATTAGTCAATGTTTTTTGTTAATATAAACTCGTCAATAAAAATTTAAAAAAAAATATTGTTCGAAATTATTTTATGTTATTTAATGTTAATTATTGTTTCCACATTCTTCTTAATTATTTTTTTTTCTGAATAATTAAAAATAGTAAATTATTATAATAAGTTTTTTTATTTTAATAAAAAAAAGGATGATAATTTTATTTAATTAATTTGTTATAATTATTAAGTATTAAGTATAATCTTGGATAATGTTTATAGAAAATTAATTCAATGTTAAAATTTATACAATATTTTAAGTTTAAAAATATTTTAAATTATGAGATATTTTACATGTTGTTTGCCTCGATATCTGCGACGACATATGATATATACATTTTTAATATAAAAACTTATTAACAAGTTATATTCATTAGAACAAAAATTTCTTTGTTCTTTAAAAAAATGAAATCATGTATTTTTTCTTCACTATATTGTAGAGAAAATTAAAACGAGAATATATTAAATCATATTTTTATTTATTAATACTAAATTTGAAAAATTGAAATAATTATACTCAAAATTAATTCAGATTATTAGTGAACAATGTTAACAATAACACATTCCTTAAAAATATTATCATTACATTATCAATTTTTTATTACATTATCAATTCTTTTTGTTCCTTGCAACGATCATTTAAAAATTACAGATATTGCTATATACTTGGAAGATATAGTGATCCAAAATTGTCTAAATTTTTAAGGTAAAAAGTTAAAAATTGTCCTTTCATTTGAATGACGATAAAACTCAAAAATGGATCGTGCCGAATGAAAATGCATTTTAAAGAGCAATATTTTGCGCTTCCAGTGCAATCATTTAAAAATTATAGGTATCGCCACTATTTTTGAAAATATAATGGTTCAAATTTGTACTGCCATAATTCTGATAAAAATAAGTCATTCTTTCCAAGTACGAAATGATTTTTTGGATTATTACAGTAAAGAAGAAATCGGAGGAAAAAATGGAACTGACATAGAAAGAAAGAAAATGTACATAGTCCATTGCAGCGAATTACAGCCAAATAAAAGAGAATTTTAAAAGTAAACTTGTCATTAATAATATTTCAAATTTATTTTCTTTTATTAAATAGAATAAATTATATATTAATATTATATATATCAAAAATGTTATGGAGTATCTGATGTAGAAAAACGTATCAAACAAATTTATAAAGACAATAAGAATATCGAATATCTATTCCGGAATATCTATTCCGATTACGAAAAAAAAACGCACACTTTATTGAATAGATAGATACAGCAATGATCTTCGAAACTTCCAACTGAATTTTTATACTTACATTATGTAATAAAGTAGGACGAAAAGATTAGTTGCGCAAGGTATTCGAAAACACATGGGAATACATTCGATTATCTAGAAATTTCTAAAATAATTTCAAATAATATTTTTCTATTAAAAATTTTTGTAATAAAAAACAAAAATTACTATTAAATTTAATAAATTACTAAAAATTTATCAAATGTAAAATGAATGAAAAAACTAATAAAAATTTATAAAATCTTTGAAAATCTATTTTCAAAGAGATACAATTATTACTTTATTTTTTAAAATATATTTTTTCTTCACTATATTGTAGAGAAAATTAGGACGAAAATATATTATATGATATTTTTATTTATTTATTAATTAATACCAAAATTGAAAAAATAAAATAATAATACTTAAAATTGACCCTTATTAGTGAATAATATGAACAGTAATATATAATCCTTGAAAATATTGTCACTATATTATTAAATTCTTTTTGTTTTTTCTTTTTTTTTTTCTAGTTTTCTTGTAAGTAACATTTGATATATTTCGCACAAAATACGAATTAGTAATAAATTAGTAAAAAATTATCAATAACTATTAATAATTACTTGATTATTAAAACTAGTTCGATTTATGTTATGTTTGAATTCGGAAAAAGATACAATTAAGTGAAACTTCTTCAATTATACAATTAAATGAATTTTATAATATACAATTATAATATTTTATAATATATACAAATTTTTTTCTTAGTGATTCATAGTTAATTGAAAAATGCTGTAGCAACAGTAATTTTAGTTCTGAAAATCTAGCAATTTTATTTATAAATAAATAAATAAATTTATAAATTTATAAATAAAAAATAAAAATTCTCTTCATTTAATAATTTTTGAAAACACGAGAAATGAATTTACTATTCAAATGAAAATGTGAAATCACATATTAAAAATTTAGAGTTTTGTTTAAATATTATAATTATTTTTATATTATAAAAAATAGAAATGCATGAAAATAATAATAAAATAATAATGATATTGTTAACTTTACAATTATATATGATATCATTATACGATATCATTTGTGTAATGGAGTTTTTCAATAAAAATAAAAACATTGATATTCTTTTGTACACAAAGGATTATTTTTGATTTTCTCTATAATGTAATATATATTATACGTATGTAATTTTTTTGTTTATGTAAAAAAACTTATTTTAATAAATAAATTTTAGTAAATTCTGAAATATTGACATTACACACCATTTTATTGAAATCCATAGATAAATCATTGTACAAACATTTAATTTAATTAATTTAAATTCATAGCTGAAACTGTTCTATTTATTGAAATCTATAGAAACGAATTAAAACATTAATAAGATTCCAGATTAAAAATGTTGAATGTATTTTTCTATGCACAAACTTGTTTATCCTCACTTATAGAAGAAAATCATTTAATGAAACTCGAATCAATTTGAATTTTAGAAATTAATGTATCAATTGAAAAATTTTTCTTTTTATCTGGTTTAAATTCAATGTTTTTTATTCCAATTTGAGATTACTAAATTGAAAAAAATAATATTCGAAATTCAATATCTATATTTTAATCATATCATATTAATACCACTATTTTTTTTCACTGTTTTCTATTCACTAAAAAAAATCATATAAGCATTGCATTTTTTTTTCATTATTACTATTGCATATTAGCAATATTATCATTTACATAGCGATATTATTATTAGCATATTTTTATTCACTAATTATTATTTATTATTATTATTAATTATCTATTATTAATTAATATTTAGCGATATTTTTATTAATTACTTCACATTAATTTAAAATAAAATTTAATTTTAAATAAAATTAAAATTTGATTATTATTTATTGCCGTACTTAATTTTATATAAGATTATGTGATTAAAACTTTATTTTAAAGATGTATTTAAATATGTATTATTTCATCAAACTTTGAACTTCGCAGCACAATAATGTATTACTAAAATAGCATTGTTAACAATCGAACGAGCGTATGATAGTACTTTCTAATTTCTAAACATTTCTAACATTTTTTAATTGTATTATTATCATNATATATATATATATATATATGTGTGTGTATATTATATAATTTTTAAAATTTATAAAAAGAAAAGCAATTTTATTTATTGTTCCTATATCATTAAAATAATTGTTTTGAATTTTTAATTTAAAATTATATTTAAATTCAATAAATTAATGATTATTGATGAAACATTTTTTATAAATAGATTAAATATTTTGAAAAAAATAACGACAAATTAGAAATATTTTCTTTAGTATTTAAAATTTGTATATATATAATTTGTATATAATATATATTTTGTAATTTGCTTTACTTATAGATAGTTTTATAAGAATCTACCAAAATTTACTTTGATAATAAAAAGTAAAAATAATAAATATAATGTTATTTATACGTTAATAAATTAAACGTATTTAATTAAAAGTATAAATAATAATAAATAAATATAATAATAATAAAATGTAACGAAAAAAATAATAACAATATTAATTATTATATTAATATTTATATTAATATTAATTATATATTTTTTATTATATTTTATATTTATTATATTATATATTTTTTTAATTATTTATATAATTATATATATTATATATTTATATTAATATTAATTATAAATATAACAAAATATAAAAAAAATATCTGAATAACATCCTAATTTATCCTAATTTCGAATTACATATAATAACATTTTTTCAGATTTTTAATAATGCTTTATTTAAGAATTGCTATACAATATTTTCTTTGTAATTTTTAAATTATGAAAGTAACTTTTTACATTAAGAAATAATTATTTATTGTGACAACTATGTTCATATCGATATATAATGTCAATCGTTTATAAATTGATGTGAATACATTTATATTAGATATAATAATGATAGATTATACATACTAGTCTCATAATAGTTTCATAATAAATTTTTAAAACTAATAATTATGAAATTGTTACCTGTATATGCAACAACATCTATAGCATCTAGCTACTAGCAATTAGCAAGAAAAAATTAGAATTATACATATATGTTATACGTTATATATTCACTGATCGTGACAATATAACAAATAAGAAGAAATTAACATAAGTATTATTGTTCCATTACTTGACATCTCTACTTAGCACATACACTCAGTCCAATAGGGTTAGTCATATAGCATATATGATTGAGCACAAGGAAATTGAAATATCAAAGAAAATGTGTTAAATATTATTATTGATTATATATTGATATTATTGATATTCATCGATATAATTTATTTTATAGATAAAAAAATATTTATTATATTTAATATAATATAATAATACTTAGTTTATATAATATATACTTAATACTTAATATATATATATTTGGTAAAAATGTTTCATATTTTACTAAAGTGTATGAATTTACTGTTGTGTGAACGAAATACACAAAAAATCTTTAATTTTATAAATATTAGAAAAAATTCATTATGGTGGAAATGCCAAGAATCAAGAATAGAATACTCTTGTTTTAAAATAAATACGCCTTTAAAGTATCATACGTAAGTAAAAATATTTTTATTATAATTTTTTTTATTACATATGTAAATCGAAGAAAAATTTTAATTTTATCTCTCAACAAAAAACGTTTAATATATATACAGCGATATATTTTATTATATTATCTATTTAAGTATAAAGTCAATATATTAAGCATTACATAAATTCATAATTAATTCATAATGCTAATAATGTAAAATACCATATTTATTTTATCATAATTATATTGTATTATATTCATTATTATATTTGTATTATGTCATTTATATTATGTCATAATTGAATATAAAGGATTGTTTAAAAAATGTAAGAACATGAGTTCTTTATTGAAAATCTGTAAGTAATTTTTCACATTCTTTTTTTTTTTTTTTGCAAATGAATAAGTCCAAATAAATATGTGTCAAACAAAGTATTGATTATAATTATTGAATATATGATATATATCGAATCAAAAATATATCAAATTGAACAGCAATAAATAAACTCATTACACTTTATATAAGATTTATTCGTCATTCAAAATTCCGGTATAAAAAAAAAAATATATAAAATTTTTTTAATGAATGAATGATGAATAAATGATGACTAAATGAACTACATTATTAGGTGCGATACACGTAATTATATATATAGAAATATATATAATTATACTTCTCATAATAATTGTATGATTATATAACTTCATAATAAGTGCAAGTGCTGAACAATAACGGAAAAGAATTTGCAAGGAATTTTTTTTGAAAGGTCATTATTAAATTTTACGAACACTTATTATTCGTGAACACTTTGAATTTTAACTTTGTTTGAAAAAGTTTGATTAAAATGATCTTAATTTTTTATTCTATTAAAAATTAGATCAATTTAATTTTATAACATAATCTTACGTTTAACGAGACTTATAGTGAACGCCTACGAATCAGTCCTTCTGTATTATTTACCATTTTTGAGCAACAATCGTCTCAAGTTTATTTCGCATAATTTTATTTAAATTTGGGATTGTCGTTATTTAGAAGATCCAGTGATATCTTCAGTGTTATTAATTACGATATTCATGGACTTTCTAAATTCATGAAGGAATTTTCCATGAATTTAGATTTAGCTTTTTGAATTATAGTATAAATTCTTTAACTTATATGATTTATATGATTTGTTTAATGAATAATATATATAATGAATAATATAATATAATATATGAATAATTATAATTATATGAATAATATTTAATTAGTTTATACACTGAATGCCACAATTAATTATACTATACATTCCATGATAAATCCAAATTTTATTCTAATAAAATTTTATGAAAGTATAATTAACATTAACAGTCTATTAAAAAAATAGTTTTATATCGAATATGAAATTTGCTTGTAATTTGTTGTACGATATAAATCGTTTAAAAATCATATTGTAATGATTTCGACATATGATATATCAATTTAATTTTTTTTCTATAATTGGATTATTTAGAAGATAAAAAATATACAAGAAAAATAGAAACATTAAACAATGCATAATATAAGATATCAAATCGAAATCATTATTAAAATAAGTAAAATTACATGAAATATTTTAACAATTTTCCATTCGAAATAAAAATCAAAACAATATATTTAAAATTCATTGGAATAAGTGATGTTCTTTTATATTATTTTAAAAACCAGATTTTTAATCCATCGTATTATAAATTAATTATTATTTTATTATTTTATTATTCGTAGTAATAAATAAATAAATTTTTATTTGACAAGGCTATTTCGACAGTTAAACAATTAACCAGTAACTAAAAAAATGATCAAATAATAAACAAGTTATTAAAATTCTTTTATTTTAGATCAAACAATGTACGACAATTTGTCGATTCATTTAAAGATGAAAGAAACGAATTAATGGCCATATGGCCTAATATTGTTTGTGAATTGACAGAAGAAGATAATGAAGAATTATCAGATGTTAACAAGTGGATAACAGAGGTATCTATTTCTTTCAAAATTTATATATCATTAAATAATACAATTTCGAATCATGTATAAAATATATTAGTATAAGAATCAAATTTTATTGAAAATTTAAATCTTACTGAATATAAGCACTTTTTTTTTACATAATTTATTATTAGATTAAATTATTATTTCTTTAAATATTAACAAATAAAAAATGATATGTTATAAAATTAGTATGTTATAGAATTAGTATTTACATTTGCGTTAATAAATTATGTTAACGTAGTGATATTTCATTAACTTGCAATGATTTTTTTTTTAACAACGCTTCCTGTTTTTAATCTTTTAATTTCATTTTTTTTAATATTACATCTTGGCGAATCAAAAATAATCAATATATAAATATAAATAGATAAAAAAAATCGCATTATTTAACATTATAGAACATTAAAAGAAACTCATTTCTTATTGGTAAAAAAATTAGGAAACTTATCAATTATCGATAGATTTTAAACAAACTAAAACCGAGATTTGTATAGCTAATATGCATAATGGAAGATTCAGAAAAGAATTTTATATTTCTAAAATAAACGTTAATGAATGCTAATATGAAGATACCAATATACTAATCCATATATTATTATTCAATCGATGTTGATAACTGATTTATGGATTTTATGTTGATTATGATAAATATTTCATATTTTCATCCTTTATGTAACTTTATCCATAACATGATTGTTAGAAAAAAAAATCAGAACAGATATATAGCAACCAAAATAACTGTGAATATCAATAACATTCTGAACAATTTAGATTTTCAATTTTATAGAAACAATTTGATTATATGACGATTTGATGTAAATGAACGGATTTACATTATTCTTTTACATTATTCCAAATTTACAGTAGTAATTATTCGAGAAACTAAAACACAATAGCAATATTTAAATGAATCAAATTAGCTAAATACGATCGATCATCAGAAAAAAAATCCATCCTCTTGGAAATCGCCTTCCAACGCGACCATTAATTCTCTTTCATTCTCTCTTAATTGAATAATAATTACTTAAAGAGAGAATTAATTTCTGCGACAATTTTTTCAAAAAATCAGATTTATTTAGATATCATATAGTTATTTAATCAGTTAAATTGCAATTAATTGCCGCAAAATTCAAATTATATTTAATTAGAAATCATTTAGAAATCGCGGAATTAATCAATCATCAATCAGTACAAAAAACAATTAGACTCAATTATTAAGCTCATTCAAAATTTACAATATAAACAATTGTACAGTCTCATGTTCTTCTACTATATTGTAGAATGTGAATAAAAATAATTAATTAACATTAATTTAATTTAATTATTGGTTAAATTTATAAATATTTAATATTATTTCTATTCTAATAAAACTTATCAATAATTATTCTTCTTTATAATTATAGGAGTCTTTATATTATAGGAGAGATTGGAATGTATTAATATATAGGGAGTATGTATTAATACATTATTATATTTATTACATGAAAAATAAAATAAAAAAGCATACATTTCAATATAAATTGCTTTATCTAAATCACATTAGATTAAAATTACAAATTTATGAACCAGAGCAATGACTAAAAAGTACAAAATCAATAAAATGACATTATTTATAAGAAGAATTATAATTAAATATAAAAATACAAAAATATAGTTTTTTATCCACATCTCATAACCCGATAAATATTTTTAAACGAAGAAAAAAGTTATTAATAGAATATTTATTAGTTTCAGTAAATTTTAATTAAAATATTTATTTTGTTATATATATATATGTTAATATCAATAAGTAATCAAGAATTTTTATATAATCAAGAATAATTAAGAATTAAATTAATTAAGAATTAAGAAACAAAGATTTTGCATTTATTTTAATTTTTCATATTCGAAGTTAAATGAATCCAATATTAAATGTATTCCGAATGATGTCATATACAATCTATTGGTATAATAATTCGAATAAAAATGTTTCATTTGTACGAAATAACTTCGACACTTGTACGAAATAAATTATTTTATTGTTACCTTTCATGCTTTCCCAATTATATATTAATTCTATCTTGGATGAGAAAGCTCGAGACATTATATTATTGACGAAAAAACATTTTTTAAATACATTTTTGATTTAAAAAATGTTTTAAATGTGTTTATGTTTGTTAGAATATTAAATGTAAATATGCAAAAGATCATTAAAATATTATTTAGTTTTTTCTATATAATTTTTTTTTTCAAAAAAAAGAAATTCTCTCTAGTCTTCTAATATATACATTTTATTATATATGAATCATTAATCACTATATTCTCTTCTCTCAAATTCGAATTCATAAACGACATTCATTGTATTTCAATAACGAAAGAATATTTTTTAACTTTTAGATATTGGAATATAATGTTCCGAAAGGAGGAAAACGAAGATCAGTACCACTTGTAATCGCATATAAATTGCTGGTATCTCAAGATCAGTTAACAGAAGAAAATATTCATTTAGCTCGTATCCTAGCCTGGTGTATAGAAATAGTAATTTTTTATTTTATTCCTTTTTTTTTTTATATTATTTTAGAATTATTATTTTTCAGTTCACTAACATATATATTCCTGTATATTTATAAGTAAAACATAAATTGATCTTATAGAATTGTTTAATATTTTAAATTAATATTGCTTCTTTCTAGCTTTAAAAAGTTTATATATATATGATTGTTATTATAGATGCTTGCATTTCACACAATGGCAGATGACATTTTAGATCATGCAAACATGCGACGAAATCAACGAACCTGGCATGTAAAAGTTGGATTAAGTGCAATTAATGATGCTTTTATTTTGGAAACATGTATATACAAGCTTCTTGAGAAACATTTTAAATCAAAAAATTGTTATGTAGATATCGTGGATATATTTTTGAAGGTATCAAATTTTTTTATTTATATAAACAGTGCTCAAAGAAATAATTGTTGTATTCATATATTAATTCATTATTAATTGTTTATACTAAAGCCAAAATTATTATTTTTTATTGTTCCGTCTCAATTTTGAAAGAAAATAATAATAATGATAATGAAATAATCTTTTTATGAAAATTGAAAATTTAAAAAAAAATTTTATCATATAATTTTTTCATATACAAAACTTATCTAAAAAATAGTGCATATTTGTCTATAATTCCAAAATAAAAAAAGAGCATTGTATATCAAATTATCGTAATTTCTTTACAAATATATAAAAAATATATAAAAAATAGTTTTGTTTACATTAATCATTTAAATAGTTCATGAACAACATTTTATAATGGCTTTTTTTCACATTTCAAGAAGAATCATCAGAATATTCATTTTATTGATATGAAGGACAATAAAATAAAGGAAATGGTGAAATTTTAGATTTCAATAAATAATGTTAAGCAATGAATAATGTTTCATTAACGAAATGAAAACACATATCATATATTAAGAAAATTTATATTCTTATATTAAAACTGTTGAAAAATAAACATTCTGAAGCTAATAAATTTTATTTTCATTGCTATTTTGATATTCTTAAATACTTGACTTTTTATTTTCGAGATATAAATAAATATATATTAAGTACTTTTTAATTGATTCTTATTTCAGTACATTTACATTTTTTCTATACTTTTATAAAAGTTAATAAAATTGTGTGTCTTTCATTATTATCTTCCATATTATCCATAAATTAAAATAAATATATTGAATGAATTAATATGCATAAAATATTATTATATGTATATAAATTAAAAACATAGGTATTATTGATTCTATCGAGTAATTTATTCATTCTCTATTTTTTAATAAGTATTTTATCAATTCTAATAAAAATCTTTTCATTAAAAATATTAATAATATGTATATAAATTATTATGTATAAATATAAAAAATATATATAATATTATTTTAAAACGATTTCCTACGTATAAAATACTTACAATATAATATATTTTAAGAATGTGTATAACAATTTTGAATTTTGTTGAACGTATACATTTCTGTATAAATTTAGATTTTATAATAATTAAAACAATTATTAAAATATAATTTATATAAAATATAATTATATAATTTATATAATTTATATAAAATATTTATGTAATTTGCAGTATCATAGAAAAACGATGCATGGTCAATGCTTAGATATATTAATATCGACGCATTGGGAAAAAAAAAACTTTAATCTTTTTTCAATAGACCGATACAATACTTTAGTAAAATATAAAACATCTTACTTCTCATTTATACTTCCATTCAGTCTTGCTATGCGTTTTGTAAGTATATTTAATTGTACTATTTGATTTTATTAACTGTATTTTCTTATAACTGTAATATTTATATTAGAAACGTATAGATTATTTTTTCCATTCTTTTTTACTTACTTTACATTAATTATACATTGTTCATAGGCTGGCATAATCGATCCAGAAATGCATAGGGAAGCAGAAAAAATTCTGATAAAAATAAGTCATCTTTTCCAAGTACAAAATGATTTTTTGGATTATTATAGTAAAGAAGAAATTGGAGGAAAAAGTGGAACTGATATACAAGAAGGAAAATGTACATGGCCCATTGTGATTGCATTGCAGCGAGCTACAATTGAACAAAAAAGAATTTTAAAAGTAAATTTGTCATTATTAATATTTTAAATTTATTTTCTTCTAATAGAATAAATTACTAATAATATTAATATAATCTAGGAATGTTATGGAGTAGCTGATGAAGAAAAAGTAAAACATGTGAAAGAAATTTATAAAGAGATAGGTATATCAAATATTTATTTGGATTACGAAGAAGAAATGCATAATTTATTGAATACATATATACAACAATTATCTTCGAAACTTCCAATTCAATACTTTTTATACTTACTCACTACATCATGTAGTAAAATAGAACGAAAAGATTAATTATACAAGATATTCGAAAAATATAGGATCACACATTCGATCCAGAAATTCTTAAGATAATATTTTCTTATATATTCTTTTATATTCGAATGATATTTTCTTATGCAGAAATTTTCCTTCTTATCTTATTAAATTATTAACGATAAAATACTGCTCTATCACAGAGTACATACGCGTGAAGTCGTGTTGACTCCATGTCGATTAAATAGGAATAAATTGACTCAATATATCGAAAAAACTGTGTTAAATGTAATAAATATTTTTATTTATTAATAAAAAATATATATATTTTGAGTAAAAAGAAATAAATTATATTACATTAACTATATTATATTAACTACATTAAATTAAAAAAGAATTAAATAAATAAATAAAATCAATCATTCAAGAAAATTCTTGAAATCTCTTTTCGTAATCTCCTTTTCCTATCTTTTTTTTAATATTAATTATGGTATTTTAATATCCAATGATATTTTATTATCTTTAAACTTATATTTGACAGATTTGCATAACAATTAACTGATTATAGATAAAACATTACTGAAAAATAATGACACAGAAAAGATAAAAACACGAAATATGTATTCAATGTATCGTTCAATCAATCGTATTTATCATTCACTTCATTGCATGGTTAAAAATTAGCTCTAATAACTTATAGTGGCATATAATCAATTGTTCCGCTTCGAGTAGCCTACGAGTAGCCACCTTGACAATTTGTGACTAGTGATTAATCAATGTTTTTTGTTGATATGAACTCGTCAATAAAGGATTTTAAGAAAAATATTGTTGGATATTATCTTAGGAATCTATTAATCGTCGTTTCTGTCGAGTAGTTAATTAACATTTTTCTGTTGAGTAGTTAATAATAGTAAATTATTGTAATAAAATCGATACAATATTCTAATAAAACATAAAACATGTTACATCTCTTTTATACTTTTATCTAAATAATCTAAACGATTACAAGTATTAGTATATCTTCGAAAATACAGTCGTTCAATGTTGTCCGAACTTTTAAAGTAAAAATTAAAAATTGCTCTTTCGTTTAAACAATGATAATTTTGAAATTAGAAGCATCGTGCCGAATAAAATTCAATCTTGCTATGCATTTCGTAAATATATTTAATTGTATTATTTGATTTTAATAATTAATATAACTTTAATATTTATATTATAAAAATATAGATTTTTCCTTTCTTTTTTACTTATTTTATTATATATTATTCATATGTTGACATAATCGATCCAAAAATGAATAACGAAAAAATTTTGATTTTGAAAAATAAGTTAAAGATGAAAACAATAAACATTATATTTTATAAATATTAAAAGAATAACAATTCAATATTGTGATAAAATGATATTGCTCTCGCAATATAGTGAACTGTTAAGTATATGTATACATGTGTCGAATGCTATTCGACAGAGGATGTGTGGTGTGTGAAGAAGCTGGCCTCGTGACTGTTACTATATTTCCTAAAGATAAAAAAAGGACTATAAACGGTTACACGTGTAGTGCGTATGGCTATAAGAAAACAAAGTCTCTCGCAATGTCACAATGTAATCATATCTAATGATGGTAAAGGACGATGTTTAATTGCAAAGAAACTATCTATTGTCATATCCGGCATTCATATTGCGACATATTCATAACGAATCTTTATTTACAAGTAAAACTCGTGCCCTTAGAAAATTTCTTCCTAATTGAATTGGAAGAATCACGATGGGACATGATAATATCAATAATAGTATCATATATTATCATTATATTATAAATAATGATAATACTTAACTCAAATTAAAGGAAAATTCCTCAAATTAGTAATTAATACACAAAAATATCAAGATGCCGACAATCAAGAATTAATCAGCATATACTTATTATAAATTTTTTCGAATTATCATATTGATCGCCATTGAATCAATAGTGGAATGTCATCTTTAGGATTGTATTCCACTCTAACCAAGCTAAAGTAAAAATATACAATTTTAAATGTCAATTTTAAACTCTTTTCGAAAACGGTAATCTTCTAAGATAATATTATTTTTTGTTTAGATTTAATAGAAGTGGACGACCAATAACGACGATAAATAATAATAGAAAAAAATTTCTATGCGAGAAATTATTTTTTCAAATAAATTGTTATAAATCTCGGGAACGAATAAATATTAATAATCTTTTAATATCAATTTAATATAGATTCTGACAGTATAGATCTGGAATAGATATTTACAATTAAAATTTTTATTTTCATTTTTTTTTATTTTAAATAAAACAAATACATATATATTATATATATATATTTATATATATTTAGATAAAGATATTTATATATTTGATATATCTTTTTTCTTTCTATGAGAAGAATTTTTTACGTTTAATTCTTTCTTCAACAAAAAAACGGAAATTTATATTTTTACGATATTTTAGCTTTCAAAATATAATGAGAGGAACATATATATATATATAAACCTATATCGGTTAAAAATTTTTTGTATTTTCTGTATTAAAAAAGATATTGATTTTTTATGAATAAAATATAATATAAAACAGATTCTATAATTTTGTTCTGGTGAAATCATGTTTCTGATTTATTTTGAAATTAATCTTGAAATTAAATACAGTTTTTTTTAGAAAATAAAGAAAATTTAATTTTATAATTTCTTATTTACAAATTTTTATATTATTTACAAATTTAAAATATAACTTCATATTAATATTATTTGAAATTTCTTCTTCGGATCATTTGTACAATCCACGGTAACGATAAAAAATCCGTAAAAATGAGAAAAAATTAGTATGGACATTATTGTTGCACAACTTGATCCCTCCTTCGCGTCACGAATTAATTAATTAACGATAACCTAGGCTATATATTAAAGTCGACTGAACACAAAAGTTGCAGTATCAAAAAAAATAAATTATAGTTCATTCATTGATATAATTCGATATAATTTTTTACAGAAATGTTTTATATTTTATCAAAATATATCAATTTGTGCGAACGAAATATACAAAAAATCTTCAATTCTATAAATATTAGAAAAAATTCATTATGGTGGAAATGCCAAGAATCAAGAATAGGATACTCTTGTTATAAAATAAATACGCCATTAAAATATCATACGTGAGTAAAAATATTTTTATTATAATTTTTTTATTATATATTTTATTATAAAAAAAGGAAATGTTCAATTTTATCTCTCAAAAAAAATACGTTTAAATATATATATAGCGATATATATTTTATCATATATTATTCTATATTTTATCATATTATTATCATATTATTATATTCTATTTAATTATAAAATTAATATATTAAGCATTAAATAATTAATTAATAATATTATATAATACCGTATTTATTTTATCATAATTATATTATATTATATTCATTACTGTATATAGTTATTTATACAAATGAATATAAGAGATTGTCTGAAAAATATGAGATCATTATATCATTATCAAATATCAATTCTCTATTGAAAATCAGTAACTAACTTTTCACAATATTTTTTTTTGCACGCTAATGCCTGCAAAAAAACTTGCGAGAAAATTTTTTTGATATAAGAAGATTATTATTAAATTTTGCAAACACTTATTATTTGCGAACATTTTAAATTTTAACTTTGAAAAATTTGATTAAAATGATATTAAATAATAATCTTAATTTTTTATTTTATTAAAAATTTAATTTTATAACGAATATAACTCTGCGACGAGATTTGACGAGATTCAATCAATTCTCTACTGTTTACCATTTTTGAGCAACAATCGTCTCAAGGCTAGTTCACATAATTCTGGTTAGGTTTGAGGTTGTCATCATTATCGGATGCAATAACATTTTCAGTATCACTGACTATGATGTTCACGGACTTTTTAAATTCACCATAAAGGGATTTTCATGGACTTAAATTTAGCTTTTTGAATTATAGTATAAATTCGATTTCTTTAACTTATATGAATAATTTAATTAGTTTATACACTAAATGCCACAATTAATTATACTACACATTCCATGATAGATCCAAATTTTATTCTAATGAAATTTTATGAAAGTATTTACAGTCTATTAAAAAAATAGTTTTATATCGAATAGGAAATTCGTATTTAATTTATTATACGATGTAAATCGTTATGAAAGCTATGTCGTAACATTTTAATATTATTTATCAATTCAATTTTCTTTTTGTAATTGGATTATTTAAAAAATAAATAATATACAAAAAAAATAGTAACATTAAACAATGCATAATGTAAGATATCAAATCGAAACAATATATTCAAAATTCATTAGAACAAGTGACATCTCTTTATTTCATAATAATAAACTTTTCATTTAGCAATAAAATTATTTCATATGAGAAGTAAATAAAAAATTAACTATTAATTGTTTAAATTACATAAAAGATTTAAAAATAAATATATTAATAAAATTTCTTTGTTTTAGATCAAATAATATACAAGAATATGTCAATTCCTTTAAAAATGAAAGAAACAAATTAATGGCTATGTGGCCCGATATTGTTCGTGAATTGACGGAAGAAGATATTAAAGAATTACCAGATGTTAAAAAATGGACAAAAGAGGTATCTATTTTTTTTTTTTTTTTCTTAAATTATATACATCAAGTAATATAATTTCGAATCGTGTATCATAATTTTTAGTGTATAAAATGTACAAATTAGTATAAGAAGTAAATTTTATTAAAAACTTAAATCTTATCGAACATAAGCACTTCCTTTCTACGTAATTTATAAATTAGATTATTGCTTCTTTGAACATTATCACGAAAAATAATATATTAAACAATTTGTATTTACACTTGCATTAATAAATTATGCTAATCTTGATGATATTTTATGAATATGTAACAATTTTTCTTTTTATAACGTTTCTTATTTTTAATTTCTTACTTTCATTTTTATTTAACATTATACTTATAATTTCAATTTTCTCAAATATTGTTTCAAAATAACTGATATAATTCAAAATAAAATAAAATACTAATTCAAAATAATCAATATATAAATACAAATATATAAAAAAAAAAATCGCATTATTTAACATTAGAGAACATTTAAAAATATTATTGGTACAGAAATTAAAAGAAACTTACCATTATCGATAGATATTAAAAAAAAAAAAACTGGTTTGTATAGCTAATGAGCATAATCGAAAGTTAAGAAAAGAATTTTACATTTCTAAAATAAATATAAATAAATATATAAAGATACTTATATACTAATCTATATATTAACGTTCGATCGATATTGATAATCGATTTAACTAAAGCAATATAGAATTTGTATTGACTATGAATGAATATTTCCATATTTAAATTTATATTTCCATATTTTGTGAATATTTATTCAAAAATACGATAGTTAAAAACAAAAATCAAAACAGATTTATATATAGTAAAATGCCAAAATAATTCGAATTTCAATAACAATCTCAATTTAAATTTTCAAATTTATAACAGCAATTAATATAAATGAACATGTTTATATTATTCTTTCACTTTATTCCAAACTCATAATAATAATTATTCGGAAAACTTATTCCAAGACACAATAGCAATGACCAAATTAACCAAATGTCTTGCGATTAATCATGAAGGAATTCGTGAAAGCTCATTCATAGAAATCGCAAACTATTGATTATCTTTCATTCTATCTTAAATTTAATTATTTTAATTATAATTATTTTCATCAAAAACAATTATTGAAAGGAAAACTAATGTCCGCTAATTTCTCAAGAAAGTTAGAACTTATTCAGGTCTGTTCAAACTCTATCATTTATTTTGCACGAAAATCAGGCAAAACACAGTTAGTTGTTGCGAAATTCAGATCATATTCAGTTAAGTATCATTTAGAAATCGCAAAATTTAATTAGTTATCAATCAGCTATAAAAAATTGGAGTCAATCATTAAGCTTACTCGAAATTTGCAATATAAACGGTTATATAGTCACAAATTTTATTACCATCTTATAGGAATATGTGAATAGAAATAATTACTTAACATTAATTTAATTATTGATACTTTTTTTATTCTAATTCTTAAAACTTATCGATAATTATTTTTCTTTATAATTATCTTTATATATATATTACAAGAGAAACTGAAAAATATTGATAGGGAGATTTAACTTATTTCTATATTTTTTATATATAAATAAAAATAAAAAAATAGCAAACATTTCAGTATAGATTGCTCTGTGTAAATTACAATTGCAACCTCTAAAACTACTTTCTCAAAAGAAATATATTTTCGTGAAAAATTTAAATTTTTATTATATTTATATAAGGATTTTATCATTGTGCTGAAATATTAATCACTAATTTGACATGAAAATATACTCCATCTTACATATATATATCAACTCCCATTACTTTTAAGATTAAATATTATTAATAAATAAATAGATTTATTATTTTAAAGTTTTGCATTTCGAGAAATATGAGATATATAGTCAAGAGTTGATACATATATGATAAATATTTTAATTTTTGGTTTGTGAAATAATTGAATCGATTGTAGAATATTTGAATAATACATATGTGTATCATTAGTCATTATATTTTCTTCTTTCTACGTGAAAACTTTCTTTGTAAAAACTATATTCTGTATATTTAAATCGAAACGATATTTCTTAACTTTTAGATATTGGAATATATTCTCTTCTCTCAAATTCGAATTCATAAACGATATTCATTATATTTCAATAACGAAAGAATATTTTTTAACTTTTATATTGGAATATAATGTTCCGAAAGGAGGAAAACGAAGATCAGTACCACTTGTAATTGCATATAAATTGCTGACATCTCAAGATCAGTTAACAGAAGAAAATATTCATTTAGCTCGTATCCTAGCCTGGTATATAGAAATAGTAATTTTTTATTTTATTCCTTTTTTTTTTTATATTATTTTAGAATTATTATTTTTCAGTTCACTAACATATATATTCCTGTATATTTATAAGTAAAACATAAATTGATCTTATAGAATTGTTTAATATTTTAAATTAATATTGCTTCTTTCTAGCTTTAAAAAGTTTATATATATATGATTGTTATTATAGATGCAAGCATTTCACACAATGATAGATGATATTTTAGATAATGCAAACATACGACGAAATCAATTAACCTGGCATGTAAAAGTTGGATTAGGTGCAATTAATGATGCTTTAATTTTGGAAACATGTATATACAAGCTTCTTGAGAAACATTTTAAATCGAAAAATTGTTATGTAGAAATCATGAATATATTCTTGAAAGTGAGTAACATATTTTTTTATTTATATTATTTACATAGTGTTCAAAGAAATAATTGTTATATTTATATATTTAATTCATTATTAATTGTTTATAATAATTTTATAAAAATAAAATTATTATATTTTATTGCATAGTCTTAATTTTGAAAGAAAATAATAATAATGATAATAAAATTTCCTTTCTATGAAAATTGGAAATTTAAAAAAAAATTTTAAAAAAAAGTTTTACCATATAGAAATAATTTCATGAATAAAACTGCTCTAAAAAGTAGTGCATACGAGTACATAGTCTATAATTTCAAATTAAAAAAAAAAAATATTGTATCAAAATGTAATTGCTTTCTTTATAAATGTACAAAAGACAATTTTATTTATATTAATCATTCATTCATGAATACTTAGCATTTTACAGTAGATTGTTACTCGTCTAATTTAATATTATATTTCCAATTTTGTTCATATTTCAAGAAAGATCTCAAGAATATTGATTTTATTGGTGTGAAATAATGAAATAAAAAAAATAATGAAATTTTAAAACTGATAGTAACAATATTTTAGTAATGGAATGAAAAAAATATCACACTTTGAAAATTTTTATTTATATATATTTCTTATATGAGGATACTATTGAAAAATACAGTTCTGAAGTCAATAAATTCTGTTTTCTTTTCTACTCTGATTTTCTTAAATATTTTTTTTTTGTTTTCAAAATTTAAATACATGTACATTAGATACTTTTCAGCTGATCTTTGTATATTTACATTTATTTTTATATTTTTATAGAAATAAATAAAAAAATAATATATATATATATAAATTATTTAATTCTGAATAAAATTGTATTTTTTCCATAAAATATATTGAATCCATAATCCATTATACATAACATATTATGTACAATATTACATTATCATATTATTTATTAAATTAAAAACATAAAAATTATTAATTTCATTGAATAAATTATTCTTTTTTTTTTCAATACATATTTTATCAATTTTAATAAAAACTTTCTCATTAAAAATTAATAAAAATATGTTTAATGTCGTACAAAACGATATTCTACATAATGAATATTTATAATAAAACATAATTTGAAAATGTGTAAAATAATTTTAAATTTTATTGTATGCAAATATATAAATTTTTCTATATAAATTTACATTTTAAAATAATGTAATTATTAAAACACGATTTATCAAATATTTATATTATTTATAGTATCATAAAAAAACAGTGCAAGGTGAATGTCTAGATATATTGATATCAACAGATTGGGGAAAAAAATCGAATCTTGATCTTTTTTCTATGGATCGATACAATAATCTAATTAAACATAAAACATCTTATTTTTCATTTATACTTCCATTCAGTCTTGCTATGCGTTTTGTAAGTATATTTAATTGTACTATTTGATTTTGTTAACTGTATTTTCTTATAACTGTAATATTTGTATTAGAAACATATAGATTTTTCCTTTCCTTTTTACTTTAGTTTAATTATACATTGTTTATAGGCTGACATAATCGATCCAGAAATGCATAGGGAAGCAGAAAAAATTCTGATAAAAATAAGTCACCTTTTCCAAGTACAAAATGATTTTTTGGATTATTACAGTAAAGAAGAAATCGGAGGAAAAAGTGGAACTGACATACAAGAAGGAAAATGTACATGGCCTATTGTGGTTGCATTGCAGCGAGCTATAACCGAACAAAAAAAAATTTTAAAAGTAAGCTTGTCATTAATAATATTTCAAATTTATTTTCTTGTAATGGAATACTAATTAATGAAATTACTAATAATATTAATATTGTTATTATTAATATATATTACTAATAATATTAAATCATCTAGGAATGTTATGGAGTAAGTGATGAAGAAAAAGTAAAACGTGTGAAAGAAATTTATGAAAAGATAGGCATATCGAATATTTATTGTGATTACGAAGAAGAAACGTATAATTTATTAAATACATGTATACAGCAATTATCTTCGAAACTTCCATCTGAATATTTTTCATACTTACTCGCTACATCATGTAGTAAAATAGGACAAAAAAATTAATTGCGCAAATATATTCGAAAAACGTAGAAACACATTCTATTATTTCTAAAATAATATTAAATCAGATATTTCTAAAATATTTTTCTATAAAAAAATTTTTAACAAAAATTACTAACAATTTAATAAATTATTAAAAATTTATCAAATGAATGAAAAAACTAATAAAAATTTATAAAATCTTTAAAAATCTATTTTCAAGGGAATACAATAATTACTTTATCTTTTAAAATATATTTTTTCTTCACTATATTGTAGAGAAAATTAAGACGAAAATATATTACATGATATTTTTATTTATTTATTAATTAATACCAAGATTGAAAAAATAAAATAGTATTAATAAATAGTAAAAAGTAAAATAGTAAAATTGACCTGATTAATATTGAATAATATGAATAGTAATATATTCTTTGAAAATATTGTCGTTACATTATCAAATTTTTCTTGTTTTTTTTTTTTTTCTATTTTTCTTGTAAATAATATTTGATATTATTAATTCGTTACTACACAGTACGAATTAGTAACGAATTAGTAACTCAAAATTATTAATAGTTATTTATAATAAGTTAATTATTAAAACTAATTCTATTCACGTTTGAATTCGGAAAAAACTCAAAATTCTGTTGAGATACAATTAAGTGAAAATTCTTGAATTGTATGATTAATATAATATATAAATAAATTTTATAATATGATTATATAAATTTTTTCACAATAATTGTAAAATTATTGTAGAAACAATAATTATAGTTTTGAAAATCTATTTATTGCAATTTCGTATATAAATGAAGTCTTTTCTATCTTTGAAAACACGAGAAATGACTATTATTCAAAAAAAAGTGTGATGTCATGTATTGAAAATTCAGAATCTTCTTCATTTATTATAATTATTATAATTTTGCGAAAAATAACAATGTATGAAAATAACTGTAACAATGATACTGTTGACATTACACTGATTATATATGATAAATATTCCAATCACATTTGTTGAAGATTCGCACAAAAAAGAATTTATATATCGAAAAATAATCGATATTATTCTAAACTAAAAAAAACAATTTTACCAAATAAATTTAAGTTAACATACACTTTTTACTAAAGCTCAATAAAAATATTTAATGTTGTCATATTTTTGGAAATTGACAATTAACTCATTATTATATCTTTATTTACATTTAAAAATATTCTAACAAAAAAAATCCTAAGAATTCGATCAGGTATTTGAGTTACAATTGTTTAAATATTTCCATCAAAAACCTGAATGCAAAATAAAATGTGATTTCATTTTAAATAAAATTACTTAATAAAAAATATGAGTAACAATCCGTATTAGGTTTGATTTTCGATAAGATTTATATTAATTGTAACAAAAACAATATGAACAATGCGGCAATCGTGAAAATTTTTTTGTTAAAAAATTCTAGTGGAATATTTATATTTTACAACCAAGTGATTCTTTTATTATTCTATTGTTCATCGTAGTTTTTGAATGATATTATATATATAATGTATAAAATGTATAGAATATATTAATGTATAGAATGTATATTATATATAAATGTATAGAAAAGGATATAATTTTAATGCCCGCATATAAAGAAAAACAAAAACACTGAATAACCGACGAGATAAATGTTTCATGATTTATTATTATGATTTATTATATTATAAGGTTAACAATCGAAACTGTACAAGGTGTTATAGAACAAAAATCTTCTGTTGCACCATAAAATCAATAATAGATTTTTTATTGAGTAAATCATTATGTCAAATAACTTGATTTTTATACAATACTATCTGATAAAATAGAATACATTTAGATCTAGAATTTACAGATCCAAATATTCATTACACGAAAAAATATCAGATTTAAATAATAAGAACGAATTAATAAAAGTCCATGATTAAATCGCTGTAAAAAATAACTATTTTTCTAAATCGAGAAAGAAAGATTTAAAAATAATATTCAAAAATAATTATCACAACAATGAGTATTAACAATAATTGTTAATCTAATGAATTTTTTTGAACTCATTAAAGTTTAAACTCATTTCAAAAACACTATATCAACTATTGCAATAATATTATTTTACAGAATTAATAAACATGTACTTTGTTTTAAATATTGAATATTTAAAACAAATAATATTATTAAAATAAAAATAAAAGAAAATAAAGATTTGCACGAGACAATAATTGTAAAATTTATATAATATTGGATAATTTTAAGGTTCTTAAGTTATTTTTGTATTTTCTTTAGGTCGATATCATATATGCCAAATAATTTTATAAAATATATTTGAACTAAAGGTTTCAAATTTATTTACATTTTGAAATATTCCTATTTAAAAATTTTAAAAAACTTAACCAAAAATCAATAAATCTAATTTTTGATTCATAAAAAATATTTATGTTTGTGAAAACATTGTAAAATCATAAAATTAAAATTGTATTTCTGCTTTAATATCTTTAAACAGAAATAATCATAATGATTGTAATAATTTCTGGAATTAATAATTATTTTGTTTTTAAATTTCATATTTTTCTAAATAAAGATGAAATTGAAAAAATTATAGATTTATTATATGTATTTATGATTTATATATATAATAATTACATATTGTATGTTATAGCATGATTTAGTATTTCAATTTCTGCAAAAAATTTAAACAAAATTTGCGATTTTTGCAATTACTTTACGAATATAAAAATGTTGACGAGAATACAAATATAAATATATAAATTTTATATATTTATATAATTATAAATATTTATATTTATATATTTATATATTTATATTTAATATATAATTTTGCTGGAAATATTTATCCAGAATGCATATTTATAATTCTTTTTTATATAGATTTATTTTTTATTTATTTTTAATAAAAAAGTATATAATTCAAAACTTAGATATAATATAATATATAATAATATATAATAATTAAATACAAATTTTAATTGAACAAATTATCTTGGAAAATATGAAAAATTATATATTTTTTATTAATATTATTATACTTGTAGAAAATTTCAATTCTATTGAAACTTATTATATTCAATATACAAATAGATATCAATTTTTTAAATAAAGATTTTTGGAAAATTGATGAAACATACAAAATATAATAATTTATTTAAACAGATGAAATATATATACGTTATATTTCACAAATATTAAGAATAACAATCCAATATTGTTGGTCGCTTCCACAGTAATGTAGTGAATTGTTCAATGTATATACACATGTATCGAATGCTCTTTTGATTGAAATGTATATATGTGTGTGTGAAGAAGCTAGATTTATGACTGTTAATGTATTTCTTAAAAATAGAAAGTGGACTGCATAAATGATTACACGTGTGATGTTATAAGAGAACAAGATCTCTCACAATGTCACAGAAAATAATCGTGATAATCCAATGGTCAGGACGATACTTAATTAATAAAAAACTATTTATTGTCGTATTCGGCGGTCAGACTACGACGTGTTCACACTGAAACTTTTTTTACAAGTAACAATGGTAACCATGTCCGACAGTCAGAGCACGATATGTTTACAAACTAATTATCGTATCCGGCGTTAAAATCACGACGGTGTTCATCATTTGCCTCTATTTACAAATGAAGCTCATATTCTCAGAAAATTCCTTCCTAATTCAATTGAAAAAATCATGATGAGGCACGATAATAATCAATAATAACTTAATCAGTACCTGACTCAAATTAGAGAAAATTCCTTGAATTGAATTGGTAATTAATGCACAAATATATCAAGATGCTGACAATCAGGAATTAATCAGCATATAGTTATTATAAATTTTTTCGAACCAATATCATTGATTGATCACCGTTGAGTCAGCTTTGAAATGTCACCTTTGAGATTGGATTCCACTCTAACCAGACTAAAATGTGTCAAAAATATACAACTTTAAATATCGAATTTTAAACTCTTCTCGAAAACGGTAATCTTCTTAGATAATATCATCTTTTGTTTAGATTTAATTAGATTAAATATAAGTGGATTAATTAGATTTAATATAAATGGACGATCAATAAAATAATAATAGAAAAAGTTTTGTATGCGAGAAACTTTTTCAGGTAACTATCATAAATCTCAGGGCCAATAAATGCTCGCGAATGTTAACAGAAAACTTTGATGGTATTTAAATATTAATAACTTCTTAATCAATTTATTATGGATTCTGACAATACAGATTTGAAATAGACGTTTTAAAATTAAAATTTTTATTTTTATTTTTTTTTTTGATTTAAATAAAACAAATATATATATAAACATTTATATATTTGATATATCTTTTTTTTTTGTGAGAAGAATTTTTTACATTTAATCTTTTCTTCAACAAGAAAAATGGAAATTTATATTTTTATGGTGTTTTAGCTTTCAAAATATAATGAGAGAAACATATATATATATATATATATATATATATATATATATATATATCAATTAAAAATTTTTTTAAAGTTGTATTTTCTATCATTAAAAAAGATATTGATTTTTTGAATAAAATATAATATAAAACAGATTCTATAACTTTGTTTTGGTGAAATTTTTTTTCTGATTTATTTTGAAATTAATTTTAAAATTACATACATTTTATTTAAAAAAAAAAAATTTTTTAATTTAATTTTATAATTTCTTATTTACAAATTTTTAAAAATTTTTGCAATTTTTGCAATTTTTGCAACTTGAATCATTGATTTTTATTTTTTTTAAAAGAGATTATAAAAGTAATTTTATGAATTAAAAAATAATTATTTTTTCTGAATTAAAAAATAATTATTTTTATTATATTGTGACGAATATGTCCATACCGATATATCACGTTAATCGTTTATATCATAAATTGATATGAATATATTACGTAATACTATAGTATTATCTAATACTTTATATTATATTATAAATTGATTTTTCTGAATTAAAAAATAATTATTTTTATTATATTGTGACGAATATGTCCATACCGATATATCACATTAATCGTTTATATTATAAATTGATATGAATATATTTATATTAGATAATGCTAAATTTTTCATATTAATTCTTTGAAATTGATGAATAAAATTTTTAAAATTATGAAATTGTTAACTATAAAAGCAATTAACTTCGTGCAAAAATTATTATTTATTGTGACAAGATAGCAAATAAAAAATTAATATAAATATTATTGTTCTACTATTTGAAATCCCTCCTTCGCGTCACATGTCCAGTAACGGTAATCTTGGCTATATATTATAACCGACTGAATACAAGGAAGTTGAAATATCGCAGAAAATGTGTTAAATATTATAATTTATTCATTCATATAATTCGATATAATTTTTTTATAAAAATGTTTTACATTTTATCAAGATATATCAATTTACCATTGTGTGAACGAAATACACAAAAAATTTTTAATTTTATAAATATTAGAAAAAATTCATTATGGTGGAAATGCCAAGAATCAAGAATAGAATACTCTTGTTTTAAAATAAATACGCCTTTAAAGTATCATACGTAAGTAAAAATATTTTTATTATAATTTTTTTTATTACATATGTAAATCGAAAGGAAATTTTTAATTTTATCTCTCAACAAAAAACGTTTAATATATATACAGCGATATATTTTATTATATTATCTATTTAATTATAAAGTCAATATATTAAACATTAAATAAGTTCATAATTAATTTATAATGTTAATAATATTGTAAAATGTCGTATTTATTTTATACCGTATTCATAATTATACCGTATTATATTCATTATTGTATACAGTCATTTACGTAATTGAATATCAAAAATTGTGTAAAAAATATCAATTCTCTACTGAAAATTTGTAAGTAATTTTTCATATTTTTTTTTTTTTTTTTTTTTTATAAATGAACAAATCCAAATAACATATGTCAAACAAAGTGTTGACTATAATTCTGTATAAAAACTAATAAAAATTGAATATATGTATATATCGACAAAAATGTATATCGAATTGAACAGCAATAAATAACTCATTACAACTTTGTATAAGATTTCGTCATTCAAAATTCCGGTATAAAAAAAAAATATAAAGTTTTTTTAACGTATGAATGATAAGAAAATGATAACTAAATAAACTGCATTATTGGGTGCGATACGCGTAATTATATATATAAAAATATACATAATTATACCTCTCATAATAATTGCATGATAAGCATCTATATAATTTGATAAGTGCAAGTGTTTGACAATAATGGAAAGAGACTTGTAAGGAATTTTTTTTGAAAAATCATTATTTTTATGAACACTTACTATTTGTGAACACTTTGAATTTTAAGTTTGAAAAGTTTGATTAAAATGATCTTAATTTTTTATTTTATTAAAAATTAAATCAATTTAATTTTATAACCAACATAACCTTACGTTTGATTTATAGTGAACGCCTATGAATCAGCGCTTCTGTTATCATTTACCATTTTTGAGCAATAATCGTCTCAATAATATAATAATATTATTATAATATTTTATCTAGTCTAATTCGACTTGAATTTGGGATTGTCATTATTTAGGGGACGCAGTGACATCTTCAGTATCATTGATATGATATTCACGGATATTTCTAAATTTATAAAGAGATTTTCCATGGACTTAGATTTAGCTTTTTAAATTTTAATGTAAATTCGATTTCTTTGATCTATATGAATAACATTTAATTATTTTAATTAGTTTAATATTTAACATTTAATTAGTTTATTCACTGAACTACAATTGATTACACTATGCGTTCCATGATGATTGATCAGTATTTTTTTCTATTTTTTTAATTAATAACGCATTTACAAAGCCATAATGAAAGATTTTACAAAGTCTCCAGTTAAAAAATATTCTTATATTTTTTATATATTCTGTATAGGAATTAATAAAAACATGATTTTTCAACAAATATAAAAATTTTGTTCTAATGAAAGTTTATTAAAGTATATTAACAATCTATTAAAAAAGTATTTTTATATCGAATATGAAATTTGCCTTTAATTTGTTATACAATATAAATTATTTCAAAGTTATATTATAACAAGATTTCGACATATAACAGTTGTCAATTCAATTTTTTTTCTATAGTTGGATTATTTAAAAGACAAAAAATATACAACAGAAATAGAAACATTAAACAATACATAATGTAAAATATTGAATCGAAATCATTATTGAAATAAATAAATTTATATGAAATATTTTCAACAATTTTCGATTAGAAATAAAAATAAAAACAATATATTCAAAATTCATTAGAATAAGTGATGCCTCTTTATTTTAAAAACCTTATTCATAATAATAAACTTTTCATTTAACAATAAAATTATTTTATATGAGCGGCAGTTAAACATTAAAAATATGATCAAAAAATGAACATGTTATAAAATTCTTTTGTTTTAGATCAAATAAAGTACGACGACTTATCGATTCATTCAATGATGAAAGAAACAAATTAATGACCGTATGGCCCAATATTGTTAGTGAATTGACAGAAGAAAATAATGAAGAATTACTAGACGTTAACAAATGGATAACAGAGGTATCTACTTTTTTTTTTAAATTATATATCATCAAATAATATAATTTCAAATCATGTATCATAATTTCTCGTACATAAAATCTATTAATATAAGAACCAAATTTTATTAAAAATTTTATTAAAAATTTAAATTTTATCGAACATAAACACTTTCTTTGTACGTAATTTATAGATTAGATTATTGCTTCTTCGAATATTAAAACAAAAAATGATATATACATTTATTATAGAATTCGTATTTATACTTGTGTTAATAAATTATGTTAACATAAACTTGCAACGATTTTTTTTTTACAACGCTTCTTGTTTTTAATCTTTTAATTTCATTTTTATTTAACATTACACCTTTGCGTATCAAAAATAATCGATATATAAATAGAAATATATAAAAAAATTGCATTATTTAACATTATAAAACATTAAAAGTAAATTTTCCACCATTTCTTATTGGTAAAGAAATTAAAGGAAATTCATCATTACGATAGATATTAAACAAAATAAAACCAGTTTATATAGCTAATGTGCATAATCGAAGGTTCCGAAAAAAATTTTACATTTCTAAAATAAATATAAATAAATGAAGATATTTATTTACATTTCTAAAATAAATATAAATAAATATATGAAGATATTGATAATTGATTTAAGCAATATAGAATTTGTATTGACTATGAATTTATATACTAATCTATATATTAACGTTTGATCGATATTGATAATTGATTTAACTAAAGCAATATAGAATTTGTATTGACTATGAATGAATATTTCGTAATAAATTTATATTACGATCATCCTTCATGAATATTTATTCAAAAATATATATATAATAGTTAGTAGATAGTTAAGAGCAAAAATCAAAACAGATTTATATATATTTATATATACAGATTATATATAAAATGCCAAAATAACTCGAATTTCAATAACAATCTCAATTTAAATTTTCAAATTTATAACGGCAATATAATATAAATGAAAATTAATATAAATAAAAATTAATATAAATGAACAATAAGTTTAAATTATTCTCTCACATTATTCTGAACTCACAATAATAATTATTCGAGAAACTTATTCCAAGACACAATAGCAATGGCCAAATTAATCAAATATCTTGCAATTGATCATAAAGAAATTCGTGAAAGCTCATCCATAGTTGGAAATCACTTTTCAACTATTGGTTCTCTTTTATTCTCTCTTAATTACATTTTCGTCAAAAATAATTACTGGAGAGAGAATTAAAATCCGTGACAATTTCTCCAGAAAATCAGAATTTATTCAGATATCATTTAATCACCACGAAAATCAGTCAGAACATAGTTAATTGTTGCAGAATTCAAATCACATTCAATTAAGTATTATTTAGAAATGTAAAATTTAATTAGTCATCAGTCAGCCATAAAAAATAAGTCAAGTTAGAGTCAATTATTAAAATCAAAATTTGCAATATAAACAGTTGTACAGTTCCACATTCTATCACCATATTGTAAGATATGAATAGAAATAATTATTCTTCTTTATAATTAACTTTATATAATATAGAGGAGCCTGAAAAATATTAATAGCGAGATTTAACATATTTCTATATTTTTTATGTTTATAAAAATAAAAAGCAAAGGCTTCAATATAGATTGCTCTGTATAAATCACAATGTAGATTATAATTGCAACTTTATTAACTTAAAATTATTTTCTGAAAAGAAATATATTTTCGTGAAAAATTTAAATTTTTATTATATTTATATAAGAATTTTATCATTGTGCTGATGAAATATGAATCATTAATTTAATGTAAAAATGTGCTTGATGTTACATATATATATTAACTTTCATTGCTTTCAGTTTAACATTAAATATAGTTAGAATTATTATTTTAATATTTTGCGTTTCGAGAAATATGAGGCATATAGTCAAGGGAGATTTAATACATATATGATATATATGTATATTTTAATTTTAATATAAAATAATTTAATATAAAATAATAATATTTTAACTTTAGCTTTCTAAAATAATTGAATTTTACGTAATCTATAATAAATAATATAATAAATCTATAATAAATATCTATAATAAATATTCTTTAACGAATAATTAAAGTGAAAATTGTTAATGTTAATGTTATGAATTTTGAAAATGATATATGTATTGAAAACGTAAACAAAGATAAAGATATATCTTGTATTTATTATAATCACAATCAAACTAAATGGATTCAATGTTAAACATATGATGCCATACACAATATGTTGGCATGATTCGAACAAAAATATTTCATTTGAAACTTGTACGAAATAAATTATTTTATTTTTATTTCTTATGCTTTCCCAGTTATGTGTTAACTCTTTCTTGGATGCGTAAGTTTGAAACATTACATTACTGACGAAAAAACATTTTTTAAATACATTTTTGGTTAAAAAAATTTTTAAAATATGTTTATTTTTGTTTATTTTGTTTATTTATATATGTTTATTTTTGTTAAAAAATAAGAATGTTGAATATAAATGCAAAAAGATTATTAAAATATTATTTAATTTTTTTGATATCAATCTCCTTTAGTTTACTCTATTATATATGAGTTTATTATTAGCCAATATATTCTCTTCTCTCTGCAGTCATATTCGTATAAACTATATTCACTATATTTCTATATCAAAACGATATTTCTTAATTTTTAGGTATTGGAATATAATGTTCCGAAAGGAGGAAAACGAAGATCAGTATCGTTTGTAATTGCATGTAAATTGCTGGCATCTCAAGATCAATTAACGGAAGAAAATATTCGTTTAGCTCATATCTTAGCCTGGTGTATAGAAATAGTAAGTAACTTTTTATTTATTTTATATTATTTTAAAATTTATTATTTTTTAATTTACTAACATTTATATATATTTATAGATAATGAAAAATTTTATTTTATTTAAATTTTTATTATTTTAAATTTATGTTATTTCTTTCTAACTTTAAAAAGTTTATATATATGATTATTATGATACTATATACTATATATACTATATATACTATACTATACTACTATATATACTATACTATACTACTATATATACTACTATATATACTATATATACTACTATATATACTATATATGATTACTATTATAGATGCAAGCAGTTCACACAATGGCAGATGATATTTTAGATCATGCAAACATGCGACGAAATCAACCAGCCTGGCATGTAAAAATTGGATTATTTGCAGTTAATGATATTTTACTTATAGAAACATGTATATACAAGCTTATTCAGAAATATTTTAAATCGAAAAATTGTTATGGAGATATCATGAATACATTCTTGAAAGTAAGTAACAAATTTTTTTATTTATATAAATAGTGCTCACAGAAATAATTGTATTTAGTATATATTAATTTTTTATATTAAAATTTTATAATTTTATATTTTAATTTTTTTTTTATTTATATCAAAATTATTATTTTTTATTGTATAATTGTATTGTATAATAATGTCAAATTTAAAAATAATAATAATATAATAATAATAATAATAATAATAATATCTCCTTTTTATGAAAATTGATAATTTAAAAAAGAAATTTTATTGTATAATTTTTTCATATACATAACTCATCTAAAAAAATAGTGCATACTTGTCTATAATTCCAAAATAAAAAAAAAAGAACATTAATATCATTAAAATAAAACTACATTGTTTCTTTAATAATGTGCAAAAAACATGATTTTATATATATTAATCATTCATGAGTAGTTAACATTTTATAATAAATTACTACTCGTTTAATTCACTTTATGACTTCCAATTTTTTCATATTTCGAGAAGAATCTATAAAATAAATAAAAATAAAAATTAAATATTTATTTCATTGATATGAAAGATAATAAAATGGATAATGAAATTCTAGATTTAAAACTGATAGTAGCAATATTTCAACGAAATAAAGAAATACAGCATATATTGAGAAAATTTATACATTTTATATTTTTATATGAAAATATTGTTTAAAAATAAGCAGATCTGAAACTAATAAATTCTGTTTTTATTTCTATTTTCAATTTGATTTTCTTAAATATCTTTTTGTTTTCGAAATATAAATGAATTTATATTATGTACTTTTCAGTTGATCATTCAGTTTGATTAGCGATTGTACATTTATATTTTTTTTATAAAAATTAATAAAATTGTATTTTCTATAAAATATTGAATTGATATAATATTGAATTGATTAGTATTGATTATATATTAGTAATATATTGCTTATTAAATTAAAAATATATGAATTGTTAATTTCAATTTATTCTTTCTTTTTTCTTCAATATATATTTTATCAATTCTAGTAAAAACTTTTTTATTAAAAATATTAGTAATAGTAAAAATATATATAACATTATTTCAAAATGATTTTCTACATAACAAATATTTATAATGCAATATATTTTTAGAATTATATAATATAATAATTGTGTATAATAATTTTATACTTTACTATATGCATACATTTTTTTCTATATAAATTTAGATTTTAAAATAATGTAATTATTAATGTACGATTTATCAAATATTTATCAAATATTATTACAATACATAGTATATATTCATTATAATTTACAGTATCATAGAAAAGCAGGATATGGTGAATGTCTAGATATATTGACATCGACACATTGGAAGAAAAATTTCAATTTTGATCTTTTTTCCATGGACCGATACAATACTATAATAAAATATAAAACATCTTATTTCTCATTTGTACTTCCATTCATTCTTGCTATGCGTTTCGTAAGTATAATTTAATTATATTATTTGATTTTATTAATTCTTATATTTATATCAGAAAAATATAGATTTTTCTATTTATTTTTAGTAATGTTACTTTAATTATATATTGTTCATAGACTAGCATAATTGATCCAGAAACATATAAGCAAGCAGAAAAAATTTTGCTAAATATAGGACATCTTTTCCAAATACGAGATGATTATTTAGATTGTTACGGTAAACGTGATGTCATAGGGAAAAGTGGAACTGATATACAAGAAGGAAAATGTACATGGCCCTTAGTAGTTGCATTGCAGCGAGCTACAGCCGAACAAAAAAAAATTTTAAAAGTAAACTTTCATTAATAATATTTCACATTTATTTTCTTCTATTTTTCTAAGTGGAATAAATTACTAATATTAATATCATAGGAATGTTATGGAATAGCTGATGAAGAAAAAGTAAAACGTGTAAAACAAATTTATGAAGAGATTGGTATATCAAATATCTATTTGGATTATGAAGAAGAAACGCATAATTTATTGAATACATATACACAGCAATTATCTTCGAAACTTCCGACTGAATATTTTTTATACTTACTTGCTACATCATGCAGTAAAGTAGGACGAAAAGATTAATTGTATAAGATATTAGTTGTACAAAAAATGTTGGAACACATCCAGAAATTGCTAAGATAGTTTCAAACAATATTTTCGTATGCAAAAATTTTTGTTACTTTTTGTTATTAATGAATTATTAACGAAAGATAATGTTGGCTATGTGCCGTCAATTAAGAAACAACAAATTGAAGGAACATGTCAAAGAAACTGTGTTATATAATAAATATTTTTTATTGATAAAAAATACATATTTGGAATAAAAAATAAATAATTATATTACATGAACTACATTGAATTAAAAAAAAATTGACCAAATAAGTAAGTAAAATCAGACATTAGAAAAAATTCTTGAAATCTTTTTTTGGATATCTTTTCTTAACATTGATCGGTATTTTGATATATATTCTTATCATTGAATTTATTCTTGACAGATTTGCATAATACTAAATACTGGTTACAGATAAAGCATCATCAAAAAATAACACAAAGGCAATGTATTATTGGCTCAATTGCATTTATCATTCAGTTCATTACAACAATGATTAATTGTAATCATTTATAATGTCACATAGTTAATCAGAACGTTTCGAATAACGCTTTGACAACATTATTAGTCAGTGTTTTTTTATTAATAATTCGTTAGTAAAGTTTTAATAAAAATTTTTGTAAAGAAAAATTTGCTCGAAATTATTTTAGAAATCTCCAATTAACTGGCGTTTTCATATTTTTCGGATATTTTGAATAATAAATCAAATTATTATAATATATTTTTTTTCATTATAAAAAATACAAACAAAGTTTGGAAAAATAAAGCAATAATATAAAATGAAATTTAAAATTTATTGTGATTATGAATGAACAATAATACATTCCTATTATTATTATATCATGAATTTCTTTTTGTTTTTCTTTCTGTTTTTTTTACAAGTCACATTTGAAATATTTGGTACAAATAATTTTTTGTAACAATATATTACTTTTTTTAATTTTTATAGAATTAATATGTGATATATGATATATCAAGAATCACAATTTTTATTGAAAAAAATATAATTTTCAAAATTCATATAATAAACATTCAAAATTCATCTGATGAAACTTTTGTTTTATTGCTATTATTATAATATAAACCAATTGCGAATTAATAATTCAAAATTATCTAAAGCTATTTATAAGTTGACTAATAAAACTAGTTCGATTCACATTATATTTAAATTCGGAAGAATCTCAAAATTCTATTAAGATATTATAATCTATTGATATAATTAAGAAAACTCTACAATTGTACAATTAAATAAATATTATAATATACAAATTTTTTCATAGTGAAAAATATGCTGTTGGAACAGTAATTTTAGTTCTGAAGATGTATTCATCATCTAATAATTTTTAAAAATACGAAAAATAATCTTTCTATTTAAATAAAAATGTGATGTTACATATTGAAAATTAGGAATATCGTTCAATTATTATAATTATTTATAAAAAAAAATAGCAATATATGAAAATAATAGTAATAATAAAAAATAAAGAAATGGTTTATATAATATAAAAATCATAGTGATATTTCTTCTCAAATCAATAATAAATTAGACAACAATAAATTAGAAAAATCATTTTAAAAATTATGCTAATACTTTATGTACCATGCAAATTATTAAAAAAATTATTAATAATAAGAAGATTTTGGTAGTATTTAAATATCAGTAATCTCTTAACATCAATTTAATTAGATTCTGACAGTATAGATTCAGAATAATTTTAATTAATATTATCAAAGTCAAATTAAATTAACTATGGGAGAAACTAAATTAAAATTATATATAAAATAAAAATAAATGAATAAAATTGATGAACAATAAATAACATTAAACTCTTAGAATTAGATAAAAATTATAAATGTGTAAAATTATAAATATGAGCACCATATATAAAATATCTATTTGCAAAATTAAACATAATAATAATATTACCGAACAATAATTGAGAAGAAGAAATTTTATTGCATGTAATACATAAGATACAAAAAATCAATTATGATTCAATTATTTATAGCTCAGCAAAGAATATATTATGAAGATATATTATAAAGATAATTGACCTAATACGGCATTGAGAATAGTTACAAATATAAATACCTAACCTTCAAATCATCTTAAAAATATTTTCCATTCTTGCAAATTTCAATAATATAATATTTCCCAATAAATTCAAAAAAATTTATTCTGAAAAATCTATGTTACCTTTTAAAGCTTTTTATTATTATTAAATGAACTCTGATCATAAAACACAAATCAAATAAAATAACTCCTTGGTTGATTAAGACATACCTAGATGATTTGCCAAAAAATCAAGTAGATAGGACAATACACATCAAATTCCTAAAATGAAAAAATAATTACTTCAATTGTGAGCATTTCTACACAGATGCATTTAATTCAGTTTAAGAATATGATACAGTGTTACCTTTAACAATAATATAACACAACAATATTTATTGCAAAGATAATATTAGATTGAAATATGTCATATTGAGTTTTAAAAATATTGACTATATTCAAACTCCATAACTGTAATAGAAATTCTAAAAAATTTAATTAACAATAGTCATGAAATCACAATAAAAATATAGGAAATAGATACAGAATTAAATAATGAAAATAACAGCAGTATAAATATCATTTGAATTCCTTTATATCAAGGAAAAAGAAATATAAATGCTGTAACAAAAGAAACAAAGATTCTATCATATATACCTGATACAATAGTTTTGATATCAGAACTTCACAAAACTATAAAAGAAGAATGAAAAAAAATCTGGATTTCAATAAAAAGCATAAAAATATGCAATCTAATACAAAACTTTTACTTATTAATCTCTGACAAAAAAAAAATAGAAAAGAAAAGTCTTAAAACATATCTAACTTAAATTCTTACACTCGATTACATTTTATATTAATGTAAAAAAACTGATTACGAAGATAAAGATATGATATAAAATCAGTTGTAACAGTTTTTTGTTATATAAAAAACACTAAAATTCTTCAAAAAAAATTATTTTCTCTTACCGCACATTGATTGACAGTTGAATTTTCCTGTGTTTGACCTGCAAGGTATAATGCATTTATATACTGCTGCTCTGAATTTTTTGTGATAATAAATTTTAATAATTAAATCATTCTTCTATTAGCAAGCGAAATCTTGATACTTAGGTTTTCATGCTCTCAATTTCTGCTTAATTCTTAATTTTAAATCTAAATTTAAATCTTTCTTAATTTTTTGAATAAATGTTCAAATTATTTTCCAAATTATCTATATTATTTTTTAGTTGCTGATCATATATTAACGTCTTTGCATCTAGAATCAAGATATATCCACTTGACATGTTTTCTTTTAATTTTGTCAGTTATTTTGAAGTCAGTCTAATTATCTTGACATGGATAAAATTTCATTTTTCGGCATTCTGAACAAAATGATCTAAAAAATTCATCCTCAATGGTATCTCTATAAGTTTTCTCATTTTTCATAGAAATTTCTGAGATTTTTTTAAATAAAAATTATCTAAATATTATGTTATTAAAAAAAAAAATTTAACAAAATTTTATTGTTTATTTAATAAAAATCGTAAAAAAAATTATTTTTTTGAAAATGTGAATGAAAAATATAAGTATTTATATATATGTATAAAAATATTATTAAGATTTTATAGAAATTCTAAATGTTATGTATTCTTATTTTGTTTCACTTGTTTTCACTTTTATAAAAATATGAAATGAAAAATAAAAATGAAATTAAGTTCCTAAATTTCAAATTTTTTCAATCAAAGATAAATTCTCAAGTCGTTTTTTAAAAAAATTATACGGTTGTTAATTTATTTCTATTATTGTTTTTGCGTCAAGAAAAAATTCAAATTTATTTGATGCTTCTGCAATTTTAATGAGATTAAGGATTCTCTGGAACCAGGAAATCATACATGTAATTATTATTCCAATAAACGAATTAATAAATTTTAAATTAAATCTTGGATATTCACGACAGCAAAAAATTAATTAAAAAAATTAAACAAAAGAATCATTAGTCTATTAATCGTTTTTGAAGTTAACCTAATATATAAATTGTTTTCTCATAAAAGTAATATTTTATATTAATTATGATATGATTATGATAATGAAAATACAGAATGGAATAAAAAATAAAATAAAATATAAAAAAGCAATTTTTTTAATTTTAATTTAACATACTTACTATATTAATAAAATTTCAAGAATAGATTTTTTGAAATATATATTGTGTTCGCGCGCGCGCGCGCGCATGTAGTTATATATTTATATTTACATTATTTTTAATTATATTTAATATGTTATAATATGCTGATATTGATATAAAAAACTTAAATTAGCATAAAAATGGATTAATATAAATGTATATGATTGATAACTAATAATACAACTAAAAAGGAGATGATTTTACATTAAAAAATAATTCGAAAATATGAAATATAATTTTTTTACGAAACTTTGTTTTCAAGAAAAATATTCATGTATGTATACATATCATATTCTGATTTAATATATTTTGTTATAACTTATTCTTATTATATTTATTATATTCTATAATCAAGAATATATAATTAATAAAACAAAATATTAATTTACGATAAAATTTTTAAAAAGAATCTATTTTTTGAAAAATTGAATCAAAATTGAATACCCTTATTTTAGAGTATAAAAATTTGAATTTTTTTCTTGATTAAATAGTCTGACAGAGTCTTTGCTCATTGAACGAACTATACATATACGTGGATATAAATTAATGGCGTTTTAGTAAAATTTAATATCATTAATAACTTTATATACGAATAAGTGTTAAATCAATGATTTTCTAAAAACTTATAATTATTTTTAAATTCTATTCGTTATAAAAAAACTATTAAAAGATATACTATAAAAGATATAAAAAAAGTTAACAATTTTTGATATCTTAAAATAAAATTTAACCTCTTAAGTATGATTAGAGGAATTTTTCTGAAGAAGAAAGAAAATATTCAATAATCGATACAGATCAAAATTTAGTGAAAAAGAAATAATGAAAAATCAAATTGCATGAAGTAATCAAATTCCATCAAAAAAAGCAAAAAAACTACGAAAATAAAATTTATAATAAATTTATAGTATAATGATAATATATAAGTATAATGGTAAAAGGAAAGTAAAAAATACATATTTCTTCATTATATTTATAATTCTGAATTTATTTCAATATTATAAATTTGAGATAAATTTTTT